ACATGACAGAAGGAGTTTTTGTCCCAAGTCTGCTTGGGACCGAGTACAAATTAAAACTCGGCTTCTGGAGTCGAGTCGGGACCGGACCGGACTTTTCACATCCCTACTTATAACACTACATAGTACATAGTACACAGTACATAGTATATAGTTCATAGTACATAGTACATAGTATATAGTATATAGTATAAAAAACGGTAAAAGCAAATTCCCTTTTTTAGATATTCCGAGGAAATTTTTTCGACGATCATATGCACGAGTATAACACAAATTACCGTAAGTAGAAGAAATGCTAACCATATACAGTAAAAGCTAATTACACTACATGGACACACGCGGCAAACTTATTACACAGCATGACCACATTTGGCAAAAACGATCGGGCAATATTGAATATTCTTAACATATAAAATACTATATTGTTAAAATTAATAAAAAAAAAAATTTAAAAAACAAAGCCGTTAAATTAGACTACAACTCTGTGCCTTAGAGATGTAATAAGGTGTCGGATGAACGACTTAACAAAGAGGATTAGAGTAAGGCATATCGAAAGAGGCAATATAACTAAAACTAATAATGTATGAGGGCATTAATAGTTTGTCATTGAGAAAGATCAATAGATTATAAGATCATTTCGAATAAACCATTTATTAGTGACAAGTTGATTGATTGTTGAGTGAGGCCAAAGCTCATCTCTAATTTAGAGAATTTATATGTATTACTAGGGATGGAAAATTTTTTTTTTTACGTAATTAAAAATAGGCAATGATTATGGTCTTAGTATATTTAAAAACAAATTTAACTACTCAAACTTTTAATCATCAGCTGTTTTAAATCGGTGAAAAGGATTTAAAACTATTTTGTTTTCATCCTTACTGAAACTGCTTTCTATTTTCCTAAAATCCAATCAATTTATAAACTTTGTTTTTTATAAGTTTCGGTTTTTCCTCAAAAAATGTCTGCTTCATTTTCGTGTCATTCCAGCATTCGAATTTAATTTTTTCTTAAAGCTTCTCAAATAATAATTATGTCGTAAAATGATTTTTTTTTTTTTTGAATAAAGCAATAATTTTCTATAAACTTAAAAAATATATATTTCATAATTATTATAAGATCACGATTATGAACACAAGCGTTCACTTGTGAAATCCTAATAACTAGTACGTACGTACTAGATTAAGGTTGCTTTTATGGAAAATCACTGTCCAACATTCAATATGCTGTAATTAAATAAAGCTATATTAAGTTTTGGCGTTAAGCTAAAATATATATTGTTTATATATCGTGTTTAACCATGAACCAAACTTGCGAAGAACTTTATAACAAAGGCGGGCAATACTGGTACGGTTATGGAGTTGAAAAGGACTTGCGTAAAGCCTTCGAATACCTTCAAAAATCAGCAGAAATGGGGCACGCTGGTGGAACATGTGATGTTGGACATTTTTATGAAAAAGAAATTGGCGTTGAAAAGGATGAACATATGGCATTCATTTATTATCAAAAATCTGCAGAGATGGGAAACGTTAATGGAATATTTCAAGTTGGATATTGTTATCAAAATGGAATTAGAGTTAAAAAGGATGAACATAAGGCATTCATTTATTATCAAAATTCTGCAGAGATGGGGCATGCTCTTGGAACAAAAAATGTTGGATATTGTTATGAAAAAGGAATTGGAATTGAAAAGGATGAACATAAGGCATTCATTTATTATCAAAAATCTGCAGAGATGGGGAATACTAGTGGAATATATAGTGTTGGATGTTGTTATGAATTTGGAACTGGAGTTGAAAAGGATGAAAGAAAAGCATTTAATTATATTCAAAAATCTGTTGATATGGGTTATGTTGGAGGAATATTTAAGCTTGGTTATTTTTATGAAAAAGGAATTGGAATTGAAAAGGATGAATACAAAGAATTTATTTATTCATTATCAAAAAGCTGATAATATGGAACATATAGGGGGAACATATAATCTTGGGCATTGTTATCAATACGGAAAAGGTGTTGAAATAAATTTGAAAAAAGCCTTTGAATTGTATTTGAAATCAGCTAAAATGGGCTATGCCGAAGGAATGAAAGTCGTTGGTTATTTTTATCGAAACGAAATCGGAACAAAAAAGGACTTAAAAGAAGCGGAATATTGGTTCAAAATGTATGCCTTTTTTTGATTCTTAAATAAGAAATATTAAATATTAATAATTTAAAAATAGGGAAAGAAGCAAGTTTCAAGGTATAATCTTGAAGTTTTTTTATTTATATTTGTATTAATAATTTAACTTAGTTTTAAACAGAAATAGAGAAATTCTTTTATCCTGGTATCGATGAGAATGTTAAGAAAATATTGGATGATGAAAAGTATCAATTATTATGGATCCCATATGATAAATTGGAAAATATTAAAGAGGTTGGAAAAGGAGGATTTGCAACCGTTTATCGTGCCGATTGTCGAATTTATTATAAGCATACCAATACTAATTATTCATTCGCATTTAAAATAATCCATGACAAAGGTTTTTTTGATGAGGTAAATTTATCGAGTTTGTGTGATTTTTGAATTGATGACTAATATTTTCTTTTTTAAAGTTGAAAGCATTTTGCGAGATTGGATATAAAAATTCATCGTTCTTAAGGTGCTACGGGCTATCGAGAGATAATTCAGGAAATTATATTCTTATTTTACAATATGCAGTAAAGGGTGCTTTACGTGATAATCTTCGCAAAGTATCGCAAATGAAATGGGACGAAAAATTAAATTTATTAAGTTGCATAACATCTGATCTTGAAGCAATTCATTCACAAGGATATATTCAAAAGATTTGCATAGTGGTAACATCTTACAAGACGATTTGGATAATGCGTATATCGTGGATTTAGGTCTCACGTCGCCTGTTAAAAGCGATAACGAAATTGTTGGTGTTTTACCTTACGTTGCACCAGAAATTTTATCAGGTCAACCATTTACACAAGCAGCAGATATCTATTCGTTTGGTATAATTATGTGGGAAATATTAACAGGAAAAAAAATTTTCGATGGTTACGAAATTAATAATGATTTAGCAATAAAGATTTGTGGGGGATTGCGACCAGAATTCGCACCCGGGACTCCCAAATGTTACGTTAAATTAGCTAAACAATGTATGAACTCAGATCCAAAAGAAAGACTTACTGCTATATATATTAATGCGTTAATTACTACTTGGATCGAAGAACTTGCGCATGGAAGTAACACAAGAAGAATTAAAAAGCAATTTTTAGAAGCTGATAAAATGGGTAAAAACCTATCAATTACCGCACAAAAGGATCCGGATCATAATATCTACACATCAAAGCCCATTAACACGCAAGAGATCACGGAAGCATTATCAAAAAGGGCAATTTTCAGCAATGAAGTGGAAATTCCGGAAGAGTGAATACACCGCAGATTAATTCATAATAATCAATTAAAATACATGATTTTCACTATCGTCGTGAAAATAACAATTCTTAAAAAATAAATTCAATAAATTATGTCAATATTTCAGCGTTATTGCTGTCGAATATTATGATAGTTTTTAGATTGTTGAATTTAAGGACGGTCGAGCACATTTAATTTACATTATTTATACGGTTTAAAAATACGGTTTAAAAATTAAGCTACAAATAAAAAAAAGAAGCATTTTGAAAGTGTTAATAGGGTTGTAGGACTCCATTATTGAAAATGATTAAGATCCCTTCTTTTCAAAGAAGTTAGTATAATAACGACTTCTTAAAAATAGTTTTGATAAGGATAGGTAAGTATTTGATGATATTAAATAATGGAATATTGGTGCTGTGACTTTAAAGGTTATAATAATTATTTTACATGCAATATAAAAAATTATTACTATAAAATTGTATTTAAAACTAGAGACATGATCATTTAGGCGGCTTCGTCGCCCATAATGTGTTAAAGATAGTAGATTTTTTGGTTTATTTTATTTTTATTCCGGAAAGAAATTTCTCAAGTTTTTCTGTCATTAGATGTTCCGTCTTAAATTTAATGCACCAACTTTAAAGCTTTTATTTATTAGTGAAACGATCATTATAGCCGTAAGAGTGTGCACCTGCCAAATAAAACTATCATTGGGTGTTACACATCCAATAATTATAAATTCTGATCCGGATCTACACGTGACGATGCCACTGTAAATTTTGTGTTGATCAGGGTGTTAAAGGGCTGAGTTCATGATTCTTTCGCCATATTTCTTTTGCTATGATCTTTGACGATCAATTCATCATAGCGGCAAAAATCAAAAGAAAAGTAAAAAATTAAAAAAAAAAAAAAAAAAACAGAAGCATAACATTTGACGGGATTGACATAAAAGTACTAAAAGGATACTTTTTTATTAGGATTTGAGTTGTTTTAAATGATCGAATTTTTTTTTCTTTCCTCAATGCATAGACATGTAGATGTAATATACATGTGTATCTATTTAGATCCTAGGCACGATATAAAATTAGATATTTAGTCTCACTGGCTCGATAGTTTTCGCTCAAATTTTTTATTTATAATAATTGTAACAATACAAAGAAAATGCAGCAAAAAAAAAAAAAAAATTAAATTATTTTATGTGAAATTTCTTTTTAATTCATATGTAAATTTATTATTTACTATGAATTGGCACCTTGACTGATCTACAACTTTTAGAAAAAGGGAAATTCTATTTTCACCCAGGTTATATTTTAGTTACGTAAATGATATTATAGTTTATCGGGTGACTTTAACCTGGGTGAAAATAGAATTTCCCTTTTAGAACATTTATTATTATATATTCAGTATATTTATTGATTGATCTTACATAGTTTTGATAGTAAAAGTGTCGAGTCTAATTTATTACCACAATAGTCAATAATGCGAAAAAGTCAGGTGACGATCGTGACGCCGTTATTCAGACATGACTACATTTTTGGCATAAAAAAAGATAACACCTGTATTATTATCTAAATATTTTTTTCTTCCAAAATCTAATTCTATGAAAATGGAATGTAATTTGTGCAAAAAACCAACATCTAAACGTTGCTCGAGGTGTAAAATTAAATATTATTGCAGTAAATCATGTCAAAAGAATGATTATGCAAATCATATTCTGGTTTGCCCTCAAAGATCAGCAGACATTCATGTTAAAGGAGTTTTTCGTGACCTTATACCTACGAATTCTGCGATGCTATATGAATATGGATTTACGAATTGCATGAATTCTCTAGATCGGACGATGCTTTTCGGCTTGTACGTTGGTCTTATAAAAATTATAGGTTGTAACGCCTCTCAGCTACATTCATGGTGGGAAAATGGAGAGCTACCACTTAACATTAAAAAAGCATATGATGATGGTGGTTATACCAGCGAATATTATAAATGGTTTTTAAAAAATGAACACTTGTTGCAAGATCTGAGTAAATATGAGGGTGAAAGATCCCTTGAACCTTTAGCGGATAAAATGATTTCACTTGTCAAACCGTACCTTTCTGAACATGATCTTTCTGAACATGATCAAGCAGTTCTTTCCAGCTCTCTTCCGGATTCGAAACGTCATATTTGTATTTTCTACTTAATGATACTTCAAGGATATCTTCCTCGAATTGAGCAACCACACTGGATTGACTTTGGATTTTGTGCTTGTAAAGTCAGTGATAATTACCATAGAGAGTTTATTCTTAATACCGTACATATTCCTATATTATCTGCTGGAAATTGTGAATTAGCAGAAGAAGTTCGGTTAAAAAACTTGTATCAGGAACTTATAGTTCAAAAAGGCTGCAAGATCGATGAATTCAATGATGCTTATATATCTGGAACCGTATTAGATTTGATAAAGAGAAAATATGACAAAACTAATACTAGTTGGTTATCAGCAAGTAAGATAGAAACATTTGGATACAATCAACCGGTAAAGAGCGTCTATAATCTCAAGCAGTATATTTTAAGCAATTCTGTAGATATGGTACCTGCTGTAATGGTTGATTATGGTTTTGGAAATTGTCGCACAAAAGATGAGGAAAAACAACTTAAAAATATGTATGAAAAATTGATCTTTGCACCTCAATTTGATGCAATTAGCTTACACAAGGCTTGCATAGCAGGAAAAATTTTTGAATATGTCAGCTCTATTCTTCCTAATGATGTGTTAAGAGTTGATCTTTTGAGAAATCTGTACCCTTTAGAAGAATATTAGGTAATTTTGATAGATTTCTTATTGTATTATTACTATTGTTTTGGCTATTACATTAGCAATATAGTTATTATGCGTTGCTTTGAACATTTTTATATTCTTATCATTACTTTGACTTTGATTAGCGCATAATCTTTATACAGTATATATATTCTTATATTAAATAAACAACCATTTGTTTATAAATGGTGTGTCTGCACAAGTTTATATACTGCAATCTAAAATTCTTTTCATAAACATTTTCCCTCACTCGAGTTAAACATTCGCTAATCGTCAAATTATTATTGAGCATACCGAATGGATAAAAAAACTTGTAATTCACAATCTTTTGCGTTCAATTTACAGTGAAGCTATTTAGCTTTTAGCAAGCTAAGATTATTTTTTATGACGATGTAAAATATAAATCAACTTGACTTCTTAATATAAAGAGTATTAAAATTCAACACCTTTTTGAAATTCCACCAGTGAAATTTATAACTATTATTGATCGATCAAATCTTTATTACGAAGGAGAAAACATATGGTATTTGGGATCGCACCCACATAGTACTTCAAAGAGGATCGTTACATTATGTTTGTTTCTGTTCCGTCTGCTCATGTACAAACAAACTATTGCTTGTGACCATCATCTTAACGGGCCACATATACTAAATAATCTGACAAATCTTGAATCATGCTATTTTGTCTGGGAAACCCCATTCCCCTAAATTAAAACAATCGGTGATCATTGCACGATCTACTAAGCAGCTTTATGTATATATTTATTAAGGTTCTTGCACTGCTATGCAGCCGTAGAGCCTTACATATACCAATGCCTATTTGCATCATATGCTTAAGCCATACCATTGAGCTGCTGCTTTCAGTCACTGAGCCACGATCATACTAACAGTCGGCCGACATGTCGTTTACAATTGCAGACTTATTGATCAAATTAATTGACGTACTTAAATTTTATAAGTAA